ATAATACAGGTTCTAAACTCTGGTGTGCATTATTTAAAAACATTTTCAAACTTAATTTTTTTTAAAAAAATTCAGTACTTTCTGATGCCCTTTTTGGTAATTTAAGTATATGCAATGTTTGGCCTTTGGGGTTAGCACATAAAATTATTAGGGTTACATCTTTGAATAACAATTTATGACTTCTAGGTTCTTCTCCTTGTAACACTCATCTGGGAAGAAGGACCTGTAACCTTCCTACTTAGCTTTGGCTCCCAAATGGGAGCTAATAATTCATATATGTCTATTCTAGGCTAGATTCTTCTTTGAATTCTAGAGTGTGTTTTCATTTTAGATCTTATGGTGGCATTTGAAATTTGGTAGGTGACAAAATGTGCTTAACCTTTGTCTTCCAAACACATTCTTTTTTCTTTATTCCCATGTTGGTGCCTGCATCACTATCTATACAATTGGTGAAACCATTTTCTAAATACTTGTAAATACCATCTCTTCTCCCTCCCATCTAAGTATCCCAGTCTTAAAATTTTTACTTCCTCAATATTACCTGGTTACAGTGTTCAGGCACACATTGTCCTTGGTCTCCCTGATTACAATGTCATAATTGTTAATCAATTCAAAAGGCTTTCACCAGGGAAATTTTTTGAAAATACATATTTAAACTTGTTGCTTTTAGTGTTCTTAGTATGGTATGTGAAATACCTCCTGCCTAACTTTCCAGGGGGATTTATCAGAATTCCTGCTCAGGTTTTCTGTACTTGTAGTAACACCTGTAGTGGCTGCATGCTCCTTTCATGCTTCAGGCGTTTGCACATGCTATTTATTTATTTATTGATTGATTGTTCCGCATTGTTCACAGGGATAAGTTCTAATTCTCTAAGTTTCACTTTCTCTAAAATCCTGCCATTTACAACAACTTGGATTAACCTGGAGGACATTATGCTAAGTGAAATCACATAGACATAGAAAGACATTGTGATCTCACTTCAAAGAAATTTAAGAGTTTAACTCCTAGAAACAGAATGTTATGGTGGATGCAGTGGTGGGGAATGGGGGGAAATGGGGCGATATTGGTCAAAGGATATAAACTTATAGTTTTAAGATGAGTAAATTCTGGATATCTAATTACAGCATGGTGATGATGCCTAATAATATTGTATTGATTACTTGATATTTACAAGGAACAGATCTTAAATGTCTTTACAATGCCCACATGATAACTCTATATTGATGGATGTATTGATTAACTTGACTGTGTTAACCATTTTACAATGTATATCAAAGCATCATGCTATGCACGTTAAATATATGCAATTTTATTTATCAGTTGAACCTTGAAAAACTGGAAAAAGATTCTTTTGATAAATTTTCTTTAATCCCCTCAAGATTGGGGATTAAAATCCCCTCTATTTTATAACTTTATTTTAATTTTCATATGAATTTATTTGTCTCCCCTTATTCTCTATGAGTTCTTTATCTTTGCATTCTCAACACATAATGTATTTTCTGAAGCATTTGTTGAATGAATGGTTGAATTAGCTTATAACTTAGAGCCCTCCATTTTTATGTTATGTGATCTTTAAAATCCCTAAATATATTTGGTCTCTTGCCAGGGTTAAAACTAATATGTTACTTCTCTACCCAATTGCACAGATTTGTAAGGTCTTGTTTTTTAATCCCATCTGTGAGCTTCTTCATCAGCTGGAAGCATTAATGTCTCCTTAACTTGGAAATCTCATGTGAGCTTTTTCTTCTGGAGCACTTAAAAAAAAGATATCAAATAAGTGTCAGTCCCGGAGGAATTAGATTCTGTATACTTCTATATCCAGTGAAATCCCTAATTGGTCTTGTTGTTTAATTCTTATTTTGATTTCGTTTACAATCTTAGAATATAGACAACCTATGAACCTTTGAACCCCTGGTAACATCAGTTAAAACAACCACAAATATTACCACAACAACCTTTTGTTTAGGAGAATGATAGTTATTAGTTTTCCTTTTATCTGTCTATTTACTACTTTAAATTTGTTATGTTTGATATCCTTTGGGAGAAATGTTCTCGCCTTTTTAATTTATCTTACCTAAACTATTCACCTTTCCTTTCTTTCCTCTATCCACTGTCATAGTATATTACTGCTATGTTCATGGATCCTGTCCTTTCTTGAAGGCTTCATAGGCTTGCTCTTTGGGATATTAGTGCTCATTAAGGATTTTATAGTTGCTTGGGCAGAGATGGCAAAGTATGAGGTCAAAAGCCGGAATATATTTATACTTTTTAAATTCCAAAGTCTCTATATAGTATTAAAGTTACTGCAACTTATAGTAAATATGCATAGCCACTGTCAGAGCAAAGGAAATACTTTTTAACCTTAACCTTCTTTGTAATAATTTGCATTCACCTTTTTCCACCCTTCACTTACCTAAATTCTGACACTGCCAATCTAAATAAAGAAGTACAAATGTGTAAATTACTTCAGAGGAAATAATATATTATATTATAAATACAGAGAATCTTCCTCAATTCTTTGTTGTTATTCCTTTGAGAAGCTATGCATCCTTTGTAAACATTAAACTCTTTATCCCCTATGTCACAATGGGATGAATGTAAGTGGTGCTATAAAATTGTGGGGGATATAAAAATCACCAAGATCATCACAGAACAAAAACATATGATAAATTTGATAAATTGAGGAATTAAATAATTCCATACTCTATAATTATTTACTGTTTTCTACATATATTCCATTTCTGGTGTGCTGTATCCTAAGTCTTGTGAGAGAGTTGCCAGAAGTGTCATTATTTCCATTTTTACAAATGAAAGAGCAAACATCTGAAGAATGGATGACTTACCCTGCTCATCGCCCTAATAATGGAGCTGAAACTAGAATCCAGACCAAAAATAAGGGGGGAAATTTTAGCAAGACAAGAAAATCACAAAATGTCTTTTCTTGGATAATTAGTGAGTATGAACAGTGAGTTGACAGCTACTTCTAACTGTCCTCCCTATATCTTGTAAAGAGGTTAATCTTCCCAAAGCCTGCCTAAAGTAGCAGACAGCCTTTATTTCCAAAAGAGAAAGAACTAAAAATATAGTAACACAAGCCATTTATTAACCTCAGGCAGCATTATCCCGAGGTGGCAGAATCTTGTGAAAAAAGCATAGGGGTATATGGAATTGCAATCAAAAGACTTACTTAAAAGATCTAAGTTCTTTTACCAGTCTACTTTCACTAAATACCAACTTAGTTAAAACAGGGCTAATAATGCTAGCCTAACTTTCTCAAGGGGTGTCATGGTAGTCAATAAGATAATGTGTACAAGCATTTTATAAGCTAAACGATATAGAATCAAGTCATCATTCTTATATAGCAAGTAAGGAAATTGTTCCACACAGGAAAGAGTATAGTACAGTTGACAAGATTAGGGATAGCGAGTCACACTGATAACAATAAATGCCACCATCTAACTATGCCACTTGGTTAAAGAAATTAGTCTCTTGAAACCTCAGTTTTCTCATCTTTAAAATGAAATAAGAATCACTTTTATCCTGAGTTTTTATGAAGATTATATAAGATGTTATCTATGCATTGCATAAACTACTGTAAATGTCCCTTAAACTAGCTTTATTTAAATAAAAAATTTTGACAATAATTTTAGATTTAAAGAAAAGTTACATAGCTAGTACAGACAGTTCCTATCTACCTTTCTTAACATTTGTTACAAAAATACATATTGATGTATTACTATCAATTATTAATAGATTATATTTAAATTTTCCCAGATTTTCATGAAAGTCTTATTTCTGGTTTAGGATCTAGTCCAGAGTACCGCCTTGAATTTATTTGTCATATCCTTTGAGAAGTGTCTTCTAGTCTATAACAGTCTATCAGTCTCCTTGTTTTTCATAATCTTGATGGTTTTGAGGAATACTGCACCTGTATCATGTAGGATATTCCCCTATGTGGTTTTGTTTTTCTCATGACTGGATGGAGCTTGTGGTTTTCTGGAGAGAAAAGCACAGAAATGATATCCTCTTCTTTGCCAGATGTATAAAGTAGTCCATGATATCCATGTGATGTCATTGAGGATGCCAACTTTTAACACTTCATTAAGGTAGTGCTAGTCAGGTTTTTTCCACTGTATCTTTGATCAGCTATCACTTAGCTAGGACTTTCTTTTGCCTCTATTCTCTGTTTGTAAGGCTCTTTATTTAGATTTACTGTAAATTGTCATCTCCACATAAATATCTTTGTTGACTGCTGGATTAAAACAGCTTTCCCCTCTCAAGTCAATCTCTTTGACATTTCATTTTTTTGTAATTTCATTACCTGAAATTGTCTTGTGTATTTGTTTACCTAGTTTATTGTTTATTGAAAGGTCTCCTTCCCACATACAGGAACATAAGCCTTACCTTTACAATACCCTTTCATATTGTTCACATTTGTAAACTCAGAGTCTAACAAAAGGGCTAATATATGTTAAATGCAACTATCTTGAATAACTATCAAAGAAAGAAGGATTCAGGATAAATTTGTTAGCATTTCTGAAAAACAGCAGAAAAGTAGATGAATGGTAAGATGTTTTATTTAGTGTTTTTAACTCACTTAATTTTAACAAAAATTATATGCAATTATCCAACATTTATGGAAAGAAGAATTAGCACCCTTATAATTCAAGTTGTCTTATAATACACTTATGTGAATGCCAGAGTATTTTAGTGACTTATGAATATGTGGCTGACATATTGAGATCTACTCAGGTTTTATACATCTGCACCATTGTGACTTTTACTTATGCACTGTCACATTTCTGTATTATAGCACTTCAGAATTTGAAGGAATGTAGAAATAATTGATAACTTTAATGAACTCATGACTGACTATTTAGTTATCTTTTTGTGTATACTGACAGAAAGATAAAGCTTCTGTGTGTAAGTCTTTTACACATAATGCATTGTAAAAAAAAAATTACCTTTACATTTTCTTTTTTTTAATTTCCCTTCTCAGGACTTAAAATCTCCAAATCAGAGGGATGAAATTGCAGGGGCACGAGCCACACTGAAGGAGAACTCCCCCCTCTTGCATTCCATTTGCTCAGCTTGTTTGGAACATTCTGATGTTGCTTCCCTCAAAGCCAGTAAGGATACAGTTTGTGAAGAAATTCAGAATGCCCTCAATGTAATTTCAAATGCTTCCCAAGGCATCCAGAATATGCCGGCCCCATTGGAACCACAAGCAGAAACCCTGGGAAGTGCACTCGATGAGCTGGAGGTATGTTGAGAGAGAGGTAAAGTGTGATTTGATGTCATTGTACAAAAATACAGAGAAATGGGCTTTCAGGTCCATTTGCTAGAGTCTAAAGTATGATAAAATAAAAGTCTAGTTATCAGTCTCTGTGAACTTCTTGTGTCTTCCAGTGAATTGATTAATAGGAAAGTATTCTATCAGTAGATTCTGATTCCTTTAAACTTCTTCCAAAGAAGCCAATGAATTTGAATTGTTTATTGGATTAAAGTGATGACTTTATTTATATAGATCAACTTCCAAAATGTAGGATTTATTATCTTTACAAATATTTATTACTGGAACTGCTCTATGTGCTTGGGATATATCTAATCCCTGACATTTTACAAGGGCTTACATTTTAGCCAGGGCCTATAGACAAAAAAATAAACATTAATAACTAAATTATATCATATGTTACATTGAAAAACTCTGATATTGTCAAAGGTTTGATATAGACTGGGAAATGGGGCAGATAGAGAACTATAGCAAAGTGTTGAAGACATGTCCTCTTTGTTTAAGTGACAGCATAGAAGCCAGGGTACCTGGATGGAAACAGCAAGGGACAAGTGTAGAGGCTTAGGGTAGATAGTCAATGGGAATAGGTTATGGAGGGCTCTGTAGGCTATTTCTCTAAGTTAAATGGAAATCCACTATAAGGTTTTAACATAAAGATACTTAAAAAGACTATGTTGGTTGCACATAGAGCACAGACTGAAGAAGAGTAAGCCAGAGAAGCTGAAAAACCATGTAGGAGGCTATGTAGTAATCCAGGTTTCACCCTTACATTTTCATGTACCTCCTCATTCCACTTCACATTTTAATTTGGCAATGTCAGAGGACATCAAGGCTAAATTTTGTGAGTAGAGTCAAATGAATTTTGACAGATGGGTGTGGGACATGAGAAAAAAGGAGTCATGGGTGGTGTTTCTAGCTGGGTTCTTCAGAATCACACACAGAATGGAGTTTGGGATACAAGGTGTTATTAGGAATTCACATATGGGAAGGGAGGAAGGAAGGGACAGGTCTGAGCAGAGTGTACTTAAGAGCCAGATGCACAAAGGCTGAGTCAATCAGCAGTGAATTCTTGAGAGAGGATTGCCCTCCAGAGTACCTTATTAAGCAGAAGTGGACAAGCCTTTATGCCTCTTTCAGTTACTGGATATAGGTTACTTTGCCCTGGGAAGTGTGTGAGCTCTGAAGGTGAGAGGATAGCCCTGTATACCTGAGAACAGTCCTGTCCATAGCTGAACAGCAAGTTGCATTTGGAAGGGGTATATGGGCAGCATATCTCTTGACAACAGATAATTTTGAGGGTTGGTTGGTTTGTCTTTCTTGCTTGAGCAGTTATATAAATGAAGTTTTCATCAACCATGATAGAGAAGACTATGGGTAAAGCTGGTTATGGGAAGAAGACCAGAAATTTAACTTTGAATATTGAAGTTAAGAAATTTATCAGACTTTCAAGTATGATGTCAATTGGTAACCTCAGTCAGACATGTAGTTTCTTAATGGGAGACAGAATAATGTAGAGCTTAACAAGGGTAGGGATTCTAGAACCCTAATTCCTAAGTTCCTATCCCACTTTTGGCACTTCCTATCTTTGTAATCTTGGGAAATTTATTTATGTAACTCTCAGTTTTCTCGTTTATAAAGGGGAGACAGTAACAGGGCCTACATTATAATGTTTTTTTTTTCAGAATCACTGAATTAATAACAAAGGTACAAATGTTTAGAGCAATGCCTGACACATAATAAATGCTCAACAAATCTTAGTCTTTTGTATCATTCTTAGAGATGACTTGAGGTGGATTCTTTTATATTGAAGAAATTAATATAATTAAAATTACAAAAAATTTTACCTAGAATTTAAAAAGTAAACTAAACACAACATGTATAATTCATATATTATTCCTAACATTATTACTTTAATGATAAACTCATTAGAAAACTAATAAATTTAAATCTAGCTTGATTTTCCTTTAATTACATCTTTACACAGGTGTCTTCGTGTCTAAAAATCATTATTAAATTCTTAATTACTGGAATCCTTGTGAAAATTTATTAAATTTCTGGTTATTATCACCCATGTGAAAATTTTAAGAACTATTTGTCTAATAAGCTAGAAGATTAATTGTGACTCTCTAATAATACTTCATCATAATTATTTGTCCCATGTAATGAGCACTCAATAATCTTGTTCATTAGATGCATAGCTTTCTTTTTTTCATATTGTTTATTTTTTCTTTTTAGATATACATGATAATATAATATATTTTGACATATTTTACATACATGGAGTATAACTTATTCTAATTAGGATCCCAATCTTGTGCTTGAACATGATGTGGAGTTACATTGGTTGTGTATTCATACATGAACATAGAAAAGTTATGTCTAATTCATTCTAATGTCTTCCTATTAGCATCTCCCTTCCTTCTTTTCATTCCCCCTTTGTCTAATCCAATGGAATTCTGTTCTTCCCCCCACTCTCCTTATTGTGTGTTAGTATCCACATATCAGAGAGAACGTTTGGCCTTTGGTTTTTTCGGATTGGGTTATTTCACTTAGCATGATAGCCCCCAGTGTCTTTTCCTTAAGTAAGAGTGAATACTCCATTTTTTTATGCCAGAGATACTAGTGGATATCACCTAGATACTAACAAAGTATTGGGCCCTCAATAAATTAAATATATAACATTTCTTGATTGTTAAAAATTTGACATGAATTATTCACCTAAATATTATAGTGTCCCTATAAGGTAAATATTCATTTTATAGAAAATAATACAGAGCCATAACTCATGTAACTTGTTCTAGTTAGAAAGCTAGTGAATAGTAGTATGTGAGTCTAGTCTATTTTCAGAAGAATTTCTAATTCTAACCTATATTGCCTTCTCATAGACTTGATGTACTTATACTAATTAGCTTTTCCTTGCTGTAACTAAAATACCTACAACTTAGAGAAGTGCTGCAGTCTGGCTGGGCACAAAATCACGAGCCACCACACACCTTGTAGATTCAAACAGCAACTCTTTATTCTTGAACTGTCACCAGCACTTTACACACACGTTCTGGGCAAATCCACACACTCCACCGGGCTCTGAATCCCAAATACTCTCTGAATCCTGTGAGAACTCAATGGGAACTCAAGGAGCGGGCGCGCCTGAGGCAGCAGGATATGCCCTATTCCCAGCAGGGTACACCTTAAACCTGGAACCACCCTAAACCCAAGGAGCGGGATACTCCCTAATCCCAGCAAGATATACCCTAAACCTGGATCCGCCCTGGTCCTTGAGCACGGTCACCTTACATGCAATGTCACTGCAAATGACCTGGGTCATGCCATGCATCATACCTACTTGGCAATGGCTCTCAGCATCGAAGGAAAAGTTTTGGGGGCTCACAGTTTTAGAGGTTCAGTTCATAGGCAGAGAACTCTATGGCTATAGGACAAATATGAGGAAGAACATGGTGATGGAAGTTTCTGGCAGAGGAAGGCTACTGCATTCATGGTATCTGGGAAGTGGAGGACCTGGAGGAAAGGCATGTAGGGAGGATGTACCCTTTCAGGGCATGTCCCCAGTGACCTACCTCTTACAGCCATGGCCACATGCCTGTAGTTACCAATCACTTAAAATACTCAAATTAGGATGGACTGATTAGGTTACAGTTCTCATAATCTAATAATTTGATCTCTGACTATTCCTTCATTATCACAGGAGATTTGAGGGGACAACTCATATCCAAACCATAGCATGCTTAATCAAATTTCAGCATAATATATGATAAGGTTCTTAAGTTTATATGAACCATCAGAAAAATTATAAATATAACCAAGTCCAAAATATGGAATAACTTTTTGGTGGGTAAGACTTTGTCTATTGATCATTTAAAAAATGTGGCATTTATACACAATGGAATATTACTCAGCCCTAAAAAATAACAAGATCATGGCATTTGCAGGGAAATGGATGGCATTACAGCAGATTATGCTAAGTGAAGTTAGCCAATCCTTAAAAGACAAATGCCAAATGTCTTCTCTGATATAAGGGGGGTGACTCAAAATGGGATAGGGAGGGAGAGCATGAGAAGAAGATTACCACTAAATAGGGAAGAGAGGTGGGAGGGAAAAGGAAGGAGAAGGAGAATTGCATGGAAGATGGAAGGAGACCCTCATCGTTATACAGAATACATGTATGATGTTGTGAGGAGAAAAAAAAAAGAAGTGTGTCGCATTAGATTGGGTAGAGAGATATGATGGGAGGGGAGGGGAGAGGAAGGGGGATAGGAAGGGCAGCAGAATAAAATAGACATTATTATTGCTGTATGTATATAGGTGACTGTATGACCAATGCGATTCTGCAACCTGTACAATCAGAAAAATGAGAAATTACACTCCATTTGATTCAAATGTATGAATTGTCAAGATCATTATACTGTCATGTGTAACTAATAAAAAAAAGTATAAACAGTCAGTATTTGGGAGCTTTTAGGTATGATGAGGTGAAATTTTCCAGAGTAGATGAATAGAATTGTATAACTCATTTCCACAGTCTAAACAGAATTGCATCAGGGGATCTCCCATAAGGGATCTTGTTTATCCCAGATACTGTATTTTATATTCTTAGGATTATAGAAGAAGACAGAAGATTTCCAAATTGTTCCTCCTTCTGAGGCATCTTGTATTTCTCACATTAGTTGAAAGTGACTGCTACAGGCAAGAAATAGCAGGAGTTGGAAACTGGGAGAGACAGTGTGTGTAGCTTTGATGAAAATGGGCATAAATATGAGAATGATGTCTTTTTTAAGGTCCTCTGAATGGCTGACTCACTTCTGAATAAGGCAAGCAGAAGTCCTGAAGATATATTCCTGTGGTCAATAACTGTGCTTACAACCTTTGACATCAATTCTAGTCAGAGAAAGGGATGCATAAACTAGTACGAAATGCCCAAGTTTTATATATTTTTTTATATCCGAGTTACAATA